CCATGAGCCATATTCCTTGATAAGCAACTCAAGCGGTTCGCCCTTCAGTCGCTCGATCGCAGCGACGTCCATGCATGAATCATAATACGCCAGGGCCTTCCAAACTGCCTCCTCCTGAAATGATTACATGAACACAGGAGTTGCGTTCTTCAATCAGTTTTGGAGTTTTTTAAATTCTGTGCAGTTTCCCAGTCTAAAGAAGAAAACCCAGCCGTTCTTACCGGTTTTTTATCTTTGGAGAGGATCAGCCTTCGATTCCATTATTAACAATCACTCCCACAACCATAATAAATACGTATGATGCACGATCCTCGCAGTAGATAGCGCCATTTAAGCAATAGCGAAAATCATACCTGAAAAAAATCAGGCCTTTACGGGATTCGAACCACTGACCTCTGCGATNTTCATATATTTCATTGTATCTGATTTATCACTTTCACGGGTTTATTACGAATCAACTTAACGGCCTGCTCCCAGTTGGCTTGTTAGCTCAATTGGTAGAGCGCTGCACTAGTATCGCAGAGGTCAGTGGTTCGAATCCCGTACAGGCCTGATTTTTTTCAGGTCTGATTTTCGCTATTACATAAATAGCGCTATCTACTGCGAGGATCGTGCATCATACGTATCTACAACCGCAGTTCAAAATATATGAACTTCATATATTCATTGTAGAAGATTTATTCTTAGTTTTTTGATTTAGTCAATCATAAATTTCTGGCAAACGGGAAATTGTAGCAAATGCTATTGGAAAGTACTCAATACACATGAGTGTAGAGCGAAATACAGTTCACAATAACTAATTTCAGTCATTTTGAACTGTATATAGATATATACAGTCAGTATATACGAGTCATATGACTCATATATACAGTCAGTATATATGAGTCATTGCCGCTAGCATTGTGCACAGCTCACTAGGCTCTTCTAGTTTGAGCACTTTGGCATGGCTTAGACAATACCACAAGTGTCGGATCGATTGGGGATCCTCATCGGTTCTCCCCCATCCTAGCATCAGCACTGCACTGATGAGGCCCAGAAGGCCGAAACGCTACTAAATTAGACGTGCGATTTTGAGCTCCTCGATTAGCCAAAGTTTTAATTTATTTACTGTTGATTCAAGGTTAGTCTGACCTTTGGGCTTTTTTTTTCCAATTGCTTTGCGTGTGATTTATGGATTCCAGTATGAATACCGAGGGATTTTTAGAAGATTTAGTCGCCGATGGAACCACTGAAGACTCGTCGATCGTGAATGGAGAATCATATGCGTCGAGAGCTGCACGTACCTCTGGAAATATTGGAAATAATGTACCAAACGAGCGGGTTTTTGCTTTTATTGAAAACAACATGCCGCAGCAGCCGAGAACCGCTTTCTTTACACCGTCTAAATGAGCGACCGCTCGTTCCGTTATGGACGCTTTTTTGGCGCTGAACATTGAATTTACCGACATACAATGCCTCCAACGAAAGCTTAATGGGAAATTCGTCGTGACTTTCAAGTCTGAGACCGCCAAAGAAAGGTTTTTAAGCTTCAACTCTAAAACTTGGTTCAGGAAACTACGCCCTACAAGATGTTGACAAACCGTTAACATTTCTCACCATCTATGACGCGCCCTTTAAACTATCAGATTTGCCGATAATTAAACGCCTAGCACCGTACTGTGAGGTGTTACATTACCGGAGAGGTAAGCATTCTTATGCTCCCGCTATTTACAATGGCTTTCGATACTACCGTGTTCGGGTTTTTAAACCTATCCCGAGTTTCCTGAGATTTGGAAAGTTTCAGATCTTCCTGCGACATAATGGCCAAGTTCCCACTTGCCGCAAATGTAATTGTTCTGGACACTTTGCTAATGGCTGCCCCAACAAGATTTGCTTCAATTGCGAAGGCATTGGGGTGC